AAAAAATAAAAATACAAAAACATTTGGCCATGGAGATTTGTTTCAATGATCATGATTCTCCTTTATGTACTCTCTTTTTGCTGTCCTTTAAGGATAAAATGCACCACTCATACTTGCTTGAAAACAGCTTATCTTCAAAGCTATATCAACAAGCCTTTTTAATGAAGGGTCCAAAAATTCTGTCATAAGTGTTGACAAATTTCTATTCTTTTTTTTTTTGTTAAATCATGTGATGCCCTTAGTTCCAACAAATTGAATTCATAGAAAACAATAACATCATATATATATATATATATATATATATATATATATATATATATATATATATATATATATATTCCAATCGGTTCATTGCTTTAGTTTTTGATTTTTCGGAAATATATTAGCTGATAACTAATTTGATTTGAGGCGGATTCAAGATTAAGACTTTAAAACCATCCCAAATGTGATAATATATATATATAAAACAAGATCCTTTGACATTGGTATCAAACTTTTTAATTTGACATCAAATCTTAATCATTAATTTCTGTTAATCTAACGATTATAATTTATTAGAAATTTGCAGAAAACATAAAGCTGTAGTGGAGGCCATAAGCAATAGGCATAGATTTCAATCTGAGAGTCACTTGAGAAGATGACTTTCCAAGCAAGAGAAATATTTTTACCATATATATATATATATATATATATATCAATTTTTTTACTCGGAGCGAGAAATTTATTGTGTTTGCTTAGTGCGCCAAAGCTGTTCACTCCTTGATTCCCCTTCATTGACTTGGAGTGAAATCGCATCCGAAGAGTTATTGATAACAACCAGCAGATTAACAAATGCTTGAAAAATATTCAACAGTTGTATCCAAATAAGACTCTGGTTCATTTTATATTACTGTTATTAAACTCGATCCGGGCATGGTCGAGATACTGGGTCACTGATCGGACTAGTGGGTCACTGATCGAACCGGTTGACCTGGATATATATAGATATATAAAAATATGACATATAAATTCAATTATATTCTCCATATCCAAAATGAATTAAACAAGGTTCAGTAAATAAACTCAAAAACATGAAGCATAAATAAATAAAAGTGCATACTATTACTATATCAATTTAAATTGCAACTCAGAATCTCCATAAACATACCTCTCAATGACATTGAACTCATATTTTTCAACTTCAACTACATTAAAATGACATATATCACATTCTCTAATTTATTATTCCACAAATTACTTCAGTATTGGAAACTAAGAGGTCATTCTAGAAGAATATACTAGCAAATAAAATTACAAAAAAGTTTTTAAAATGAGTTTTACATTTTTTTTGATGAGATGAAACAGTTTTGATTTTTTTTTTTTTTAGTAAAATACATGACCCGACCCGGTCATCGGGTCGCCGGGTCACCAGGTTTGGCCGGGTTTGTTCGGATTTTGACGGAATTTGACCAGGTCGATGCATGACCGGTCCAATGCTTGACCCGAACCGGTCTGATGATCAGTTCATCGGGTTTCGGGTCGACCCGGCCGGGTCGGGCCGGATTTTACAACAATTGTTTATATTAAAATGGGTAATTGCACCGAACATACAATATAATCAAAAAATCCCAAATAAATAAATAAAATTAGTTGGAAATAAAGCAAGCAGATAAGTTGGTTAATTGGGGGAATAAGTCCTCATTTTCTCTACTATATCTTAATACATGCACGTTATGATAACAACTCAACATAAAAGAAAATCTTTACAAAATATTAGCTACTTTATTGATTTTTTTTATTGGTCTGGCTCGTTTAATGGTACTTTTTTTCAGTTTTTTATTTTTCTTAACTTCAAACTTTATGGGGTGGGAAGATTAGAGTATGTCAGAAATCTTAGAATTTTTTTTCTCTAGGTAGGTTATATTTATAACCCGACCAAACTTTAACCATTAATTTTTGTCAATCTGATCGTTATAATTTATTGAGAATCACTAATTAATTGATAAATATAGCACAATAAATTATAATCATCAATTAATGAAAATTAATGATTAAAATTATAAGCAAAGAGATTATAACTTCGTAGATATATGTCTTTCCAATTTGAGCCAACCCTCATTTTTATTTATTTTTGGACTTGATAGTGTCGTGATCGTGCACAACTTTTGGTTTGTAAACTTTGGACTAAAAGCAAAAGTGCTGAACTTTTCAAGCTAACTTTGCAGCCCAATCCACAGCAAAATAGAAAAAATAAATGAGAAAGAAAGAAAACGGGCCTACAAGCCGAATATTCCAGTTTGTTCATTGGATCATGTGAACAAGACTTTTCACTTGATGGTGGATTATGTTGAAATCTGAAATAATCGCGATTAATATGAAATTTGAGGATTAATGGTATCTGCGGACGAGATAACCACATATGGTGACAGAACACACAAAGAAAAGCTAATGGGAGAAGTGTGCATTATAAAGAGGCTAGGGTTTCGGAAGTGCATACTTGTAAAATTTAATTCTTTATTTATAGAAAGGATTTACCTTTAATGGATAAAGCCCAATGTTGCCTAGAACATATAAGACCTAATATGTGGATAAAAAACAGTTCCTATCAATTCCGATGCAAGAGGAAGTGTTTCAAACATATTCGTGTATGTAAGACCTCTCACTGTCTAAGTAGGTTAGAGGTTATCACCCTTTATGAGTCAATAAGTGTCTGTAAATGATGTTGATAGAGAGAAGAGTTGATGAATAGGGATCTTGCCGAGATGTTGGATATCTGGGCAAGATGGTTTCTCCACAAGCATGACGTTTAAGCAGTTTGAGAAAACGGGAGATATTTGAAAAGCACTTAGACACTCAAGTCAGTTCATTATTAAATATAGTTCAAGTATTCAAAAAGAGATATCTAACCCAAGTTGAATGCCTCTGTATTTATAGTTTAGGATATCTTGTTTCATGCCGCCTTTCAATGAAGATGTCAGTTCTCATTAATGGAGAAAGGTGACCTTTCATAGACTATTCCTGGGATGAAAAGTCTATGGTCAAGTTAGTTTCAATAGACGTAGTGACCAGTACTGCTGTTTATTTATTAGGTTCATGTGAAGGTCAAGTTGTCTAAGCTGCTGATCTTAAGAATTATGTTTCCTTAGCTATTAAGTCACTTATGGCTTGTTTGCCAAGTAGGCGAGATGTCCATGATTCATAAGTGGATGTGATTCTTTCATGGTTAAATTTATGGTTTATTGGACATTTTGGACTTATATTGAATTGAGCCTTTATCTCACAGGTCCAAATTAGAGGTATATGAAATTATTGTTAGTCAACATAAACAATGAAGTATAGAGCATGTTTATAAATTTTATGGATAGTCAGTCGATGATGCTTTTTCTTACTAATTTGTTGCATCACTAATAGGTAAAATTAGCATTAAGGTCCAAAAATGCTAACGTGAATGTACGCTCTTCGTAGGTGCAATATTCTCATATAGGTTCTATGATAGTTCCAATGAAGGCAATCATTACATGGTGCAATAGCAAAATCCCCCTCGTACGGAGATCATCTTGTGACAAATCACATATAATACTCCATTTTCATTAATTAGTCGTACCAAATGCAGGGTGCAACCGATGAGATTATTTATTGTGGTCCGAGACTATTATTTTTTAGGTGGTCTTTTAGCATAAATGGAGGGATAAAATTAGAAAAGAAAAAAAATAGTAGGGGTAAAAAGGGAAAGAAAAAATTGATGATGTGAGATAGAGCACCAGATTATTGGATGGTCCTGAATCATAATAAATATTTCCGCAACCGATATACAATAGATATTTCACTTCGTGATGAAATTTTTCTTGGAGTAAATACTCTTTCGGGTCCCTAACAAAAAACACGGTCTCCACTTTAGTCCTTTACAAAAAAAAAATTAGTTAGTTGGTCCCCATGAAATTTAAACTGGACCCATTTTAGTCCTTTTGAGGGACTAATATGGGTCTTTTTGAATTTGTGAGGAACCATGACTTCAACTAAATGGGTCCACTTTGAATTTGTTAGGGATCTCGAGACTAATTTTCTTTTGTAAAGAACTAAAGTGGATATCGTATTTTTTGTTAGCGACCAAGAACTACAAGTCGTGCTCCTCTTTCCTAGATAAGGAAAAAAAAAGTTTCTATTTGAATTCAAATGTTTTCTATTATTTTCCTTTGAATCCTCACTTTTTATTCATTTTTGGAAGGGATGTTAATCCATCGGTTACATAAAAAATGCTCTCCTATGTATGGACAAACAAATGATAGGGTCACGCAATTTATTACGCTACATCCTTAGAATTTTATAAATTAAAAAAAAAAAAAAAAAACCATTAGCATGCATTGTGTCTGAATTTTTTGCCCCACTCCGTCCTGATATATATAAGAAAAAGAATCCACAAAGATAAGGAAAAATGCGGATGAAATATTCGCATAAAGTTTAATTTTAATTTTTTTTTTTCTCATTTCTAGAAAGTGACACTAAACTAAGCTTTAGTAATTAATTTGAATTCACTAATTGTCGATCCTTTATAAAATTGAATGATTCTGCTTATACAACCTAGGAAATGTGCTTATACAACCTAGGAATGATGAAAAAGGTTGGCTTTCCAAGACATTTCATGATTGAATAGCCAACGGGAGTAATTTCCTTCCATTTCACTAAATCTTAGTTTCAGACAAAAAGTAAATTAAAATAAAACACATTTAAGAGAAAAATTCTAAATTATTAAAATGTATACATAATCAATTCAAGCAAAATTATAAATTATAAAAAAATTCATGATTCATTAATTTTTTCTTAAAAAAAAAAGTTGAAATTCAAAAAAAGAAAAATTAATAATAATATGTATCATACATTAAACAAGAAAACACAAAAATTTAACTACAAGAACAAACGAGTAAATGAACTATGAGGTCTTGCCACCCAAATCGAATTAATTGGGTAATTGATGAATCTTTAAAAAAATTAAATAAAAATTAAATAACTCTTTTAAAGGCGCTAAAGCAACACTTCAATTAAGTTACTAATTTCAACGTAAATGAAACATTATTGCCCTGGGAAGCACATGAAGTAAAACTATATTCTTTCAGATGGATTGGCACAAACATTGTTATAGTAAACCAACCTTTTTCTTCTTCTTATTCCCCTAACTAAACAATGTAATAGCCAATGCCACCAAAAGAATGCATAAACAGGCCAAGAATTTTTCTCCCCACTTACATTAGTGGGAAAAACAATAATACTATCCACAACACATCACATAACACTACCATTCTGAGCGTTATGCTACATCAGATTCATTTGTCTAGATGGCTCAAAATCTACATAGTTAGCCGGTGCAGGTCCATTAAACCCATACACATCAAAAGCTTTACCATCTGAAGGCACTACAGAACCTTCACGTGCCTTAAAGCCATCAAGTGGTGAAGACCAAGGAGCTGGAGTAGAAGGGTTTGAGCTAGAAGCATCTTGGTTGAGACCAAGTGCAGTTGGATTCTGTGGTGAATTCCCAGTAGGCCTTCTGTTTGAGGAATTAGTAGTAGTCAAAGGAATGGACACTGATTGCTGCTGCTGTTGGTTCTTCATTGGTGACTTGGGCCTAAGAGCCTCTATATCAGGAGTAGTCACCACCAGATGAGGTGCTTCTGGAGGTGGATTCCGCCCCCCACCTCCTTGCCATACTTTCCCATCTTTGTCAGCAAAATTCTTCATATATCCCTGAATTAATAAGTCAAGGGGACACACAAAATCAGCATAAAATAATGGATATAGCATATCTAAGAATAAAATCTTGTCACTGGCGGAAATAAATTCAAGATAACCAAAGTAACCTATTATTGGACCAAAGGGGAGGCTAGAACCTAGAAGTAGGTCTAGAGCATGAACTTAAGCCTAATGTATATTCCATATAACAACTAAAATAACTCAAGCTGAATGGCTAGGAGACTCTAGGTAATTAATATCAGCTGAACCTTTCTGCCTCTCTCTTTTCTCTTCATTGTCTGTGTCAAAATAGTACAACACTCTTGCATGGCTACTTGCACTAGTTAAAAAGCCTCAGAAATTGGAAGAACTTTTTCTAGCATATCAATTTAATTAGAAAAACTAACCAGACAAATCACTCCACCAATTTAGGGTCAACAATTGAAACTATACCCATTGTGGGGTTTCATGAAAAGTCAAAAAGGAACCCAGAAAGAAAATCATGTTATCTTCACTGATATAGAAAAAGTCTATGATAGAACGTGTTTGGTAGACACGTTAAAACAATAAGATACGAGTTTTTATTTTATGTCTGGTACATCTGAAAAAAATAACAGAACTAGACATCGGGTTAAAAAAGTGGTACATCTTGGTTCCACTAAAAGGGTGGAATCAAGGAAAACAGAGAGAACCACACTACTATTTACTTTTCATACTAAAAATTATCACCGAGTTTCATCTCTCACTCTTCCATCTTCTCCTTTATACAAACTTCTGAATCTTCCCTATAGAAGTAAACTCTACAGAAGATTTTCCTATAAGAATAGGTTTGCGTCAAGGATCAAATTTGAGCCCTATAACTTATTACTTTAATATTTGATGTACTTACTAGGCATATTAAAGTCAAAGCCTTAATATGATATTTTGCTTGTTGATTTGTCGAGAGAAGGAATAAATTCTAAACTTCAGTTATGAAGGCATGTTTTGGAATCAATGGGCTTTCAGTTAAGTAGGAATAATATGAACTACATGGAATACATGTCACTACAACTTGAGTTAGCGTTATTTTGATGAACTTGGGATTGCAGCATAACACAAGTTGTACAGTTTAGGTTTCTTGGATCTATCTTAGGAAGTAAATGGGACTGTTAAACATAGGATTCAAATTGGGTGAACTAAATGCAAAAATTCACCAAGCATAATTACTAATCTCAAAGTGCGTGAAACTCAAAGGAACAGCTATAAGATATACAATGCTCTATGATCATGAAAGTTGTGGCAGTGCCGTGATGACAAGAGCAAAAATAAGTGAAACACATATGATACTACTTAGGTATACGAGTAGTGATAGTAGACATCCACGAAGAACAATCTATCTAAAATTAAATTGGAACGGCAGCGATTGAGGTGAAGATAATGAAAAGTCGTATAAGATGGTTTAGTCATGTTAGAAGAAAACAAATAGAGGCTTCAGCAATAGAAGTGGATCAAATAGAAGAGCCCAAATAAAAGGGCAAGAGGAAGGCCTATGAAAACAACAGGAAAATCCATTAAAAAACTCGCTCTAAATGGTTTTACACTGATAATTTGGATTTTTATAGCCGTCACATCCATTGATCCAAGTAGCCAAGTGGAATAAGGCTTTGATGGTTGTTCTATATCAATTTAAGTAAAACCTCAGGCCAACGAAACCGCATAGCCCAACCAGTGACTCCCCTGGTCTTTACTTGAGGGCTGTAGTTATGTGATAGGGTTCAATCCCCCACATTCTCATTTCCCATTCCCTTTAGATCAAATAGGAGCTCCCTAGAACCAATAGATATGTAAGTAAATAAAAACTACGGACCTCTTGTATTTCACCTCAAATTCTTTAAGGCTCTTTCAAATTTGGGATACCACAAACCTTGTTACCAGCTACTTCCGACAATTTACCAAGTTCATATAGACAAGAATGCTATAGAGATAAGTTTTTCAATATATGCCTCTCATAACATGAATTTCAAATATATTGTAACAGTCACTAAACATATATTTCCAGTGGATTAGTTATGCTGAAGATCACCCAAATAAAAAAAGTATGGCTAACTGCTCAGATTTCTTGTCAAGAGTTTGGCTTATGATGAGAAAATTGTCCTAAGAACACAATAGGTCATAATATCCCACAGGAGCTTACATCAAACAAATCAAAGAATACGGATCAGCCAGATCCAAAAACAAATCCAATGGAGCAAAACTGACTCAACTTCAAAAGAAAGCAAAACAAAGAAAATTATAAAATTAAATAAAAACGCCAGTACATGAAGAAAAAACAAGTAAGTATGCTGGCATTTTGAATTTCTCACCTCTGCATTAAAATTTGAAGATGATAGTTCTTTACCAACAGTCACCCAACCGGATCGGATATTGTGGTCTTCACCAAATAGCTCTAATCTCCTCCTTCCAAGGGAAAAGTGCTCAATAATCCTATACATATCTTCAGGCTTTTGGGTTGAGCCTGCAATATATGAGAAGGAATTTGAGGAGGCACTCATCTGATTATTCTATACAAAAACTATAATAGGCATGTCTAAGAAACCAAGAATTTTATCTTGTTAGTACTATTATGTTACGTGTTATTGACAAGAGCCTTCTACTGGTAGTACCGTGACCTAGACTATTGAATGAAATCAACTTGTTTTGAATTTGATCAACTTTTGCTTGGTTTGATTCTCCGTTTTGGATTCTTAGAAAAACCTGAACTATACTCAACCATAAAAGTTAGACTTAAAATAAAACCACAGCTCAATTGTGCAATAACACCAAACCAAACAGTCACTGTGTGTTTATTTGACTGATTTATTTATAGATCGGTTTTGTTCCTTGAAGAACACTTACTAATCTCCTTCAGCTAAATATAGAGAGAAGCTACCTACTTTCCATCACTTCTGACTTTTCTTAAAACCATAAAGATTGGTGTTGTCAGATCCACAAAATTTCTCATTCACCGAAAATAATTATTACCACTTTGCAAAATAATCTGAAGTTAAATTCACAACTATTTATTCTCAGTGATTAGATACTTGAAATATTACAAAAGCGAGTTGAAGGGAACATCGGATCACACAGAATGCACATTAAATGTACCTATGTTACATGATATTACATTAACAAAGAAAACTAAATTCAAGTATGAAGATAATTATGATTATTTTGGATAATACTAACCATAGGGTGGTTCTTCAGCAATAATTACATCTGTATCAATGTTAGCATGAATTATATGGCCATCAGTACTTCGACGAACAGTTCCTTTGATGCCCATCAAGCAGTGTTCCTTCACCACAAACAAATTCAACAGTTTAAGCAAGACCATTGTATTAAGTATCGAAAGCTCAAATACTGAAATAAAGCTGTGGATGTACCAATGACAAATCTTAACTAACCTTTGAATGTTGAAATAAAGTATGTGAATCATGCCGCAGTCCTGGAGTTGCATTGGTTTTGTTTGTCTTTGCCCAACATATGTCTTCACACCTACGAAATCCCCACTATGAACACCCAGCCGTCACCCCCAAAAAGAAAAAAAAAAGAGAAAGAAAGAGATTAAGCAATAGAAGACATGAATAGGATATGGGCATAGCCATAACCAATGATTGAAGCTAAATCCTGTTGGTATTTCTAACATCCAGGTTGTTTACCTTCTTTAGACATTGACGGCCTTGTTCAAGGCCTACACCATCACCCACCCAAAGGAAGATGAAGGAGGGAGTATCTGCTATAGCCTAAAAAAAGCGGGAAAACAAATTAGAAGTTTAATTCAAAGATAAGTAGTGTGCACGTATAAGATGAAACCAAAAGTCAGGCAGCAATATATAGTAATATATCATACAAACTTGCATATACCAAAACATTTTAAAGGAGCACTGCATAAATCATTATACTATGAGAAGCACTGCAAAAGAAATTTCTTAGTATGAGTTTAGCAAAAGTATGAACCACATAATCTTGCCACAGTACCATTTTTAACATTATCTTTCAACTGCAGCATAGGGTACTAAGAATAATTAGCCCAACCAATTTCTTCATACAGTCATTCATGTGCATTTGAAACCCAAGAAGAAAGCAAGATGCTGAGACTGAAAGGACCCAAACAAAAGAATGTCTTACAAAAATAGAATAAAATCTTACCTCTATCTTGAGATTCATTATTTCTTCAAATGTCCAGTACTCCATATGGTCAGCGACACCGGGGGCACGGTGCACGTACTCCTCCCACGGGGGATCTACAAGAATGACATCAAACTTTGTTCCAAAGAACTCTGGAGACAGTTCAAACTCTTTTAGATTACATTTATAATACATAGGAGCAGAAGAAGAGTTTGTCACTATCTCATCCTTTTTCTGGATTAGCTCCCTAAGCTTAGGGTAGTCCTCTACAACACTTGTGAGCTCAAGCTCCCTAATGAAATTCTGCGGCCGCATACCAGTGTCAACAAAGTTCTGAGAATAATCATTCTGTTCACCTCTAGATGGAGCTTTACCAGGAGCTCCACTACTTTTAGGAGGAACCCATCCCCCTGAAGTTTTATCAGCTGGTGCTCCTCGAGTCATTGGTCCTGCAGAATTAAAACCATGGCTAGAAATGCCTGGGGGAACTCCTCTTCCGAGGCCTGATTGGTTATAATACATTGCTGGATTTGGAGGATTCCCTATGTTAGCAGCAGGAAATCTTGGGACTGATGGACCAGGGGGTACCGGAGATAGTGTTGGCGGAACAGCTAATAAATTCATATCAACACCTCGAGCTCCAGGCCAAACGGCTTGAGTAAAAGGTGAAATGAAGACGCCGGGGGAAATTGGTGGACAGGGAGAAGGTGACATACCATGTGTAAGAGGCTGCATTGGCCCAGGTGGAGGCATGCCAAGAGGTGCATAAGGTGATCCCATCATTGGCAATGGCATTCCAACCTGCTGGTTGTCTCTCCCAATTGGCCTAACCCTTCCTCCTCTGCCAACCCTATTCCCTTTTAAACCATGTGGACCAGCTCTGTTAAAGGATCTAGACTCCTGATTTCCATATTGAGGATGTGAACCACCACCAGTACTGCGAACAGACCCAGCAACCTTTTGACCTCTTCCTCTTCCACCATAAAAATCATTGTCATCATCAGCGTATCTCTCCTTAAGATCTTCACCAGGTGTTCCAGTCCCACATGAATCACTTCTTCTAGCTCTTTCTCCCTGATGATATGCCCATTCTTCGTCATTAGATCCCAGTTTAACATTGTATTGTTGATTAGCTTCAGTTCTCCTGGAAAAGTTGGACATAGATTCTGATTTGCCATAATCATTGGACTTTGTTTGGATCTCTATCACATCATAATTACCATTAGAAATTCCAAAGTTAGATGAAATTTTAACAGCATCCCCCCTGCTCACATCCTTTCTACCACCAGACCGGCCATGAGGCCTCTCATTGTCGGTCCTCTCACGACCATGTCTATGGAGCTCCCATTCTCTATTGTTATCATACACAATGTCCCCATTTGTTGAGTCTCTGTCAATACTACTCAGTTGCCTCCTTTTCCAACTTTCCCGATCCTTATTCCCGTCATTCCAAGTATCATCTTTGCCTTTGGATCTATCATCCCTATAGTCATCCTTATCAATTTCCTTCCCTTTAAAGCTTCCACTTCTTTCAAAATCCATCTCTGAGTTTTCTGAATCTTGATGGCGTCGTCCACTCCTCTCAGGCGTCCTAGATCTGTTTGTGCGCCCTGCTTCTCTAGGAGTTTTATCCCTTATCCTTGTATTTCCATCCTCATCTGCATTTAATGGCCTATCCCAGCTTTCAGCTACATCATAACTGCTGGGTGTTCTCTGGCGCCGGGGCTTCTCTATTCTATCCTTGTCTAGCATATTGTCTTCACAGCTAATATCTTGTGGTTCTGACCTGCCTTTGCTCTTACCTCTCTCAAGATCAGCTACTCTATCTTCTTTATGGGTTGATTTGACAACTTTCTCACGGCCGGAATCCAATCCCTTGCTTTTACTCTCCCCAGGTTCAGTTCTAACAGATCCACTCCTCTCTCTAGAACTCTGATACTTATTATCAGAAGCCTTAGCATTTCTGTAATCACCTTTCTCAGAATAACCATCTTCTGTATTTTTAATAGTGTCAGCTTCATCCCATCTCCTTCTTGAACTTTTCACCTGCTCAGAAGACCCATGAACCTTCTGTCTGTTGCTTTCCTTCTTCTCAGAGTGTCTACAATCTTTATCCATTTTTTCAACCTCCCTATCATGCAACCTATCTTCTTTACTCCTACTTCTGCTCTGAGAACCATCATGATCAATTTGCTTCGACGAAATTTTCCTCCTCTCACCTTCATCGCCCCGGCTATGCACTTTACTCCCATCTTGCTTGTTTTCAAACTCTCCATCCTCATACCAACTGCTCAACTTCTCCAATGTGCTTTCCTCTTGTCTCTTCTTCATCTGTTTCGCGCGACGCGAATCATAACCATTGTCATCACTATCAGCCCTACTTGATCCACTAGACCTCTTCCTACTCTCAGTTCTACTATCTCCATAACCTCTTCTTCTTCCACCTCCATCTAACCCTTCACCCTCTTCTCCATTCCCAGATTTTCTTGACCTGTGCTTCTTCCTCTCACCACCCTCCCACTCCTCATCATCCCCTACCCTACTCTCAGGAGAACCCATCAACAAAAACTAAACCTAATTATATTCCTCTTCGCAAAATTTCACAAACGAATTCACCAAACTTTCTCCCTTCAAGCCGTTTGAATATTCAAAACCCAATATATAATAAAAGTATGGGCGATAAATGAATAAAAAAGTAAGATTTTTCAACGAAAGCAAAAGGTTCGAACAAAAAAGAACAACCTTGAATTGCGTGGGAGTTATGGATTTCCCAATTCAAGAGCAGCGAGGAAAAAAGATGCAAAAGTGGGAGGTGGGTATGGCGTGGATCTTAGTGAAGGGAAAAGGGTCGATGGAGTTTATAGTGTCACCGACTCAACGTGCCTTGTGGTAGAAGAAGAACAAGAAAACGAAGGAAAGGATAGAGAAAAGAGTGATCTTGTTGCAACTATGCCATAACACAACCTCGTACATCTTATGTTTGCGAAGCGGGTAAAAAACCTAAAAAAGTTAAAATTGTCGAATGATTTGGGCCCTTCTTTTGGTCTTTTGCTAGGCCCAAGGTACTACAGTCAGCTTATATGAACACTAGGTCGGGTAAAAACAAGCCCATCTTGATTAATCTAATACGCCGGCCCATTTGGTGAAAAACATTAGTTTTGATTGTTTGAATATTTCTTTGTCAGATTTTTATTCGCATACAGATTAATTTTTGTTATGGAGATTGATAATTAGTTAAAAAATTTATGCTGCTTTATATTGGAATGAGCCTATCTTTATTTTATTTTTATTTATTTATTGGATAACGTTGAAATGTATTATAGATATCATTGGCTTTGAATCCTTATTTGTTATGTCTAGCAAGATTTTATGTAACCTAGAACAGTAAACATTTGCAAATTAGTTTCTTTTGTAAATTTGGTCCCTAGCTTATAATGTTTTAACCTATTTTGTCAGGTTACTTGTTTTTTTTTCACTTTGTTTATTATGTCTTCACTAAATTTGAGTGACTTACCTCATTATATACAGGAAAAACTTAAAAAAAAATCTTATAAGTTTTCTCATAACTACTTACCCCTCTCCTCAAAAAACTTAATCATTTACCTCCTTATTTAAAGTTACTTTATCATTTACCCCCTGATTTGATTTTTCATCCAAAATTATAGTTAACAATGTTAATTTTTTTATAAAATACCAAAATAAGCCTTTAAAAAAAAGCATTAGTTGATCTTTTTCACTTTGTCACAATCTTTTATTGGAGATCTGAAAACCCTTTTCGCAGGAGCTACCTCCATCAAAATGAAAGACAAAAGTAAAACAAGAATTGTTTACAGCTATGCTACCATAAAGTAAAAACAAAGTCCATAAAGAGCCAGAAAATTATGGAGTCTAAAGAGTAATGGGTACCCAACTCCATTATTAACTAAGTTTGATAGAAAGAAAGAAAAGGAAGATAAAAAAAGAGGAGCACGGAATAATCATGTGAAGCTCAGAGTCAACACAAGTCCATCTCAAAGTCCCCATTTTCATTTGAATGTAATTTTGAACCTTGATTTTTCAACTTTGTCCTAAATAACATGTCAACATATACAATATGTTTTAGAACCGAACCTTTTTATTTTCATTGTTGTAATGGATCAGCACCTTTTTAATAATGTTGTGAAAGAGAATTATGTGTTGTTGATTGTTGTGCATTGAAAGGACACCAAACAAAAGTGGCTTCTCTCTCTCTAAAAATTGTAATGAATCTTTATCTGAAAATCAAGTTGGATGAACTTAGCAAATCTCAAATGGTTTCATTCATATGGTGGGAGCAAGTCTGAAAATCTAGAAGATCAATTAACGTTTTTGTTTTAAAGGTTAGTTTTGGTATTTTATAAAAAAATTAACAATGTTAACTGTAATTTTGGATGGAAAATTATGTCAGGGGGTAAATGATAAAGCAACTTTAAGTAGAGAGGTAAATGATTAAATTTTTTGGGGAAGGGGATAAGTGATTCTGAGAAAACTTTCAGGTTATTTTTTGAAGTTTTCCCTTATATATATTTTAATAGACGTTAGGTATCTGATTAAATTGGGCTGGAAATTATTCATCCCAATAGATCATTGTTATGCCTCTCAAATGGTTTGGTCCGATATTTGTTCTTGATTCGAAAGTCTACAGTTATAGGATGTTGATTTAGACTTTTTTACTTAAAGTGATTATTCGGAGCAAAAACCAACTATAGGTTTGGGTTATGGTTAAGTGTGTCTCTTTAGTATGAGTGAGTGAGTATGATCAACCTGAAGTCCTTTCCATTGGTACTATCCTTGTATTTATAATGGTTTTTATAAGTGGTTATTGATAATGAATGTGGAGCAGTTCTCGTAGTGATGATCTAGGCAGTTACATAGTTTGTGGCTTTAGTATTGCAGAGTGGGAAAGGGTCGTGGGTTAAACCCATGATCTGGGCTCTTGCCCTATAGTCCCACAATTCGAGCTCATAGCCTGTAATCCCAAAATCTGGGCTCATGGTCGTTTGTCATATGTGTTACTCCGGGTAAGAAGGTCTTAGACCAACACTTGGGTTATGACTTGATAGGCCTAATGTTAGCACTAAATTATTTATATAATTATTGTATTATTTTATATATTTTAATCTTTTTGGGTTGACAATTACAGGAAAATGGGCTGAAAAATATGAAATATGGCTCAATTCAAAAAAGGAAATAACCAAGCCCAAGTTAATTTATTTTTGCTAATAATTGTAATTATTCATATTTTTTAGGTACTTTGTGGAAGAAGGCACGTGGATCAGTTTCATGGAAGTGAACATATTTTAACCATTGGATAAGTCAGAAGATGGACGGCTACTGATGAAAAAGAATTTTTTAGTTTTTAGTTAATTTTTTTTGGGTTGTAGAGAAGAGATACAGATCAGATTTTAGGGGCAGAGTTAGTTTTTCATTTTTTACGTTTTCAATTTTTGTTGTTCGTCACTGTTCTTTCTTTCTTTCTTTTCTTTGACTTTGAGTGTTGAGAGATATTGTGTGAAAGGCTGAATGCATCACTCTTCAAGATCCAATAACTCGAAGCACCGACAACGCTGAGGAGGAAGAAAGGATCGAGGGTGCATGCAAGCGAAGATTCAAAATCCTAGCTCTAGTTTAGGATCGATATTTTGATTTGAACAATTACTTTGATTTTACTTTTTAATGCATGTTTTCTTTCTCTTTAATCTTTGATTTTTTGTTTCTGAATATGGGTTTCTAGTTCTCTTATGTTTTGGGTTTGTCAAAATGATTGGAGGAATTTCTTTTGATGTTCATTGTTACTGTTTGTTTTGTTTTATTCGTTTAATTCTTTCATCTTTTTAACTCAAGAAATCCATGGGAAAGGGACTTGAGTATTTCAACAAAAAGAAATTGGGAAATGGATTTTTGTTAAGTATTAAATGAACCCTTTTGATTAGGGATAATCAAAGGTGATTTCTGATATAATTTTCTGTAAAGATTCAAGAAGCTTTGGGAAAAGTCCTACTTGAACCTTATTGCTGAACCTGGAAAGTTTGAGCTAAACTTGCCGTAGCAACTCAGAAATTGAAATAAACATGCTATAGCAATGTACGAATTTGCAGGAATGCAAATAATTTTTGTCATCCATGATTTGAGATATACCCAGAAGTGTTTTAATATTGATAATCATTTTCTTACTTTTAGATCAGATTTTAATGCTTGCTAAAAACTATACAAAAATTTCTTGTTCTAAAACCAATTAAGTTCCAATTTCAGAATTTTTAGTTCAAAAAAATAAGAAGAAAAATACTTCAACCCGTTCCCTGAGAACGATAACTCTTTCTTTTGAAAAATTACAACCAACACCTAACCGGGTTAACGAACTTAGGGTAACTTGATAGACCTAAACGAGTTAATGAACCCGGAACATTAAGCCCCCGCAGCTCGAATTATTAAAGGAAGGGTACTCTGAGGTGCTAATCTTGTGGTTTGTCTTTATCTTAGAAGTCGGATCCATCAAAAGGTCATTTCACATTAAATGCTGACTGCAGTATCATGTCATGTGTCATTCTCTGATTGGTCTTAGTCATGTCAAATGACGCGAGTTGAAATTATTTCAAGATTTCAAAATTCGAAATGAAAACAACTTTTAACAAATATACCTCTATGTTTCGTCTTCTTTCACCTTTTCTTCATTTACTTTTCTTGCTTCTGGTTTCTTTTTATTCTCTTCTTTATCTGTCTTTCCTAGCTCTTCTTTTTTTCTTTTCAACGTTTCTAGTCTCTGTTGCTCTCCTAGTTTGCATTGTTCCAAGCTTTCAAGGCGTTAGTGAATCGTTTCATTATATTTACAGGTAACTTCCTTTCTCCTTCTCGTATACTCGTATCTTTGCTTGTATTCTTTGTTTCTGTTGGTTGTATCTTCTATTATTACAATAGTGTAATGAATAATGAGGGTAAAGTAAAAGGTATCTTGACAAAGAGGGATTTCTTTGACCGGTTAAACTTCTTTGATTTGAGAGAACAAGGTTGTGTCCCTTCTAGTAGGGGTTTTAGGCATAATCACATAGCTCTTTTCTTTCCTTTGTCGGTTCCAAGCGCATTAGGGTGTCTTTGTGTCCTTTGTCGGCTTCTGATACTGTATTTTCTTTTTATCCAATTTTAGAGTTAGAGCAATAAGTTGGGTTAGTCGTCCAATGCCTAATAAAGTTCCAGTCCAATAATATCTCATAACTAAGCTCATGAATCTTACCTTAGAGAATTTTCCTCTTTTTGCGACACTCACCAACGTACACGCATGATGGTGAGTGTAACAGCTTGTTGTGCACTGGTATTGTTAACATTGATTATGATATTAAGCGCAGTTACAATCACAGTAGTTCATTTAAAAATGCGAGTAAACTTTTTCTTTTTCATTACGTAAGCCTTTAAAGCAATAATAAAACGTAATGATAAAAACTGTGATCATAACTGAAATCTCAATGCGGAATAAGTAAAATAAATGCCTAAATATCATATGTTGCTTATCTCAAGTCATCAAGGGATTCCCATAAACTCACTTAGCATAAATATCATTTTTACGGTTTTTACATAACTGAACATGGTTCAGTCTTTTGGACATTGTTCGCAATATACTGGTTACAAGACCCTCATATTTTAGTATGTTATTCTAGATTCAATAACCTTTCCAACAAGGTATCACACGTCCCATAAAGTTCTCATTTGCTTTGGTTATCACCGTTTGAAGCTGGACAAGCAAAACTGCCAGCCAACCCAAAACAGGAAACCAAACATACCTTAACATTTCTGCGATTCTGAACAAACCACTAAACCAATTGCTCTCAAATTTTTATAGAGTAAACTGGAGCTTTAATTTGACATATCATGAGCCTAATTTGAGTAAGAATTGAGGGAGAACTATTTTTTGTA